ACGGGACGGGGGCTTCGCGCCTGCTGGGTCTGGCGGGGAAGGGCGGAAGGAGCGTGAACGGCCGGGGAGGGCGGGGCTGGAACCGCACGCCGGGCCGCGGCTGAAGAACGTAACGCGGGAGCCGGTGACGGCCCCTCCAGCCGTCGCGCCGCCAGAGCTGGGAACGGAGCCTCCTGTCCCCGCCGTGAGCGGGTCTGGGTGCCAGTCCCGGGAAGTCGCCGTGCTGGGTCTGGCGGGGAAGGGCGGAAGGAGCGTGAACGGCCGGGGAGGGCGGGGCTGGAACCGCACGCCGGGCCGCGGCTGAAGAACGTAACGCGGGAGCCGGTGACGGCCCCTCCAGCCGTCGCGCCGCCAGAGCTGGGAACGGAGCCTCCTGTCCCCGCCGTGAGCGGGTCTGGGTGCCAGTCCCGGGAAGTCGCCGCCTCCTCTGGTGCTAGTCCACGCGGCACGTAACGGCACACGTAATTACGACCCTTAATGTGTCCCTCAAATTCTGCCGCTCGTGCGCAGCCCGCTAAGGTGCCGAGGTAACGTGTGGTGAAATTTGGGGGTTTTAAACTTCCCTTTCTCAACTTGCCAACTTCCCAAAATCGAGTATTTAAATCCGGAGCCACGGTTGCTCCGTCGGTGGTGACTAGCTGTGAGCTCCTTCTTTCCTGGACGCTTGAGTCACGCGTTCTGATTTGTGGCGGCGGTATGGGCAGAGTTCCATGCTGTATGACCACAGTACCTACGTACAGAGTCGAAAGTCCAATGAAAAAATAAAGCCTTAATTGCCTCAGCCTGGTAACAACCTTTACTGGATACTTTTGACTTTCGTTTCTTTGTGCTTGGCCTCTTACATCTGCAAAAGTAATAAAACACCCCCCTCTCCACTCACAGTGGTGGTGTGAAAACAAGTTAATTAATAACAGACTAGGGCAATAGTAGTGTTTACCACTGGAAATCACCCAAGAAAATTAATCATTGCTTTTGAGCAGGGTTGGACTAGTTAGTGCTCTGTAAACCAGGCCGGGATATACACACCAAATGGCAAAGAGGAAAAATGACCCAAACAACTGCCTGTTGGGCAAGAGAGCCTTTTCACGCCCTCAGCAAGTGGGAAAAGGCACGGCACCGGCTAGTACAATTAAAGACGGCCTCCTTACGTACAAGGTGGGAGTTCAGCAGCGAAGCTGTGTAATGGATCCTGCCTCACTCCACCTTGTTAACGTTGTAATGGCAGATACGGAAGAAAGACAAAAAAAATACACAAGAAAAATCCACGGAGGCTTATAGAAACCACTCCCAGGGCAGGAAAGCCCCCCCCAGCTGACAACATCTGAGGCTGGAAGAGTACCAGGGGAAGCAGAGCTTCTACCTGCCCTTGTCTTACTCTCACGTAAGCCCCTGCTGTCAGAAGTGGAGGCCGAGCACCACGGACCTTTGTTCTGATCCAGTATCGGCTGCGGTTCTCCCAGGGGATGGCTCCAGTATCGGCTGCGGTTCTCCCAGGGGATGGTTCTGGCCCTGGGGTACTCCAGGGAACTTCCAAAAATGCCAAGATGCTTCTGACTGGTTTTGTAAAGAAAACGATTGTACCCAGGACGTGGGATGGAACCGGTGCTGGGACAAAATCGGTGCCCTGAGCATCTTAGATCCGCCTCGGCCCACGCTGCAGCTAAACAGTGGGCAGGCGCTCACTAGAGAAACAGAAATGGGGTAAAATTCTGGGTAGGATTCTTCCCTTTTGGCCAGCAGGAAATAGAAAAGTTTCTGAAGTTTGTGGCCTGCTGTGATGAGGCACCTTCCCTGCACAACTGGTCCCCGTGTACTGAATGGTACCGAGGACCGCACGTAACTCGCGACGTCTCAGTGGTAGCATTTAGTCTTCTAATTCAATTCTCTTTCCCATGACATTGCCTTCCATGGCAAAATGTCATCTGCAGGCAGTATGGCTACAGAGGAAGGGGGGGGGGTTTGTTGTTTTAAATAACTGCCTTTTTTTTTTTTCCTTTCCACAAAAAGGGCAGTGAGGCTCCGGGAGCACCTACCCAGCTCTGCAGGGGCTGCCAGGACCTGCTGGGCCCGCAGCCGGCCCAGCTGGGAAGCGGGGGACAGGGGCCACCACACTTGCAGGCAGTCGCCCATCCTTTCCTCTGCCAGTCCCCCTGGGGCTGCAGCATCCATCAGACACGCGTAGGACTCGCATCCACAGAGCTTCCAAAGGCAAGAGCTGCACAACCAGCCAGGCCGGCCTCTCTCCTGATCAGGGACCTCTGCTACGTTATCTTGCACGTAATGGCTCTGAGGTTTACTCTAAGATGACAATCGTTATGCTCGAGATAAAACTTGATAAAACTTGTTTCGGTTCACCACCACCACGCGTGCAAATGCATATCAAGCAAACAGCGCGGCACCTTTCAGCCCCCCCAGTCACATACGAGGCTGTTTTGTGGCTCTGCTTCCGCTCCTTGAATTACGCTCAGCCTAGTCAGTGGAAACCAGCCTCCAGCATCTCATTTAGACCAGCTGGCCTGTGCGCGGGGCTGGTGGAAAGCAGGGGCCCGAAAGGAAGGGCCAGGCCTCCAGATGGTGCCTCCGAGCTGAAGGAGTGCTGCACCCACATACCATCGTCTCAAAATAGACACGACTGCAGCGCCGCAGCAAGCGCCAGAGACCACATAATGACACCGTACGGTGTGGGTGCAGAGGGGAGGAAAATACGAAAAGTATATTTAGCAAACTATTTCCTGATACTGTCCCCGTCCTGGGAGAGCTAAGTATTTAAAACAAAAATTGTGGGCAAATAAACTCTCCTTCAAAGCAGACAAGGACAGAGTCCTTTCTGTCCTTCCGTGCAGGGAAGCACAGAAACACGTAAGTAGGAAGGGCCGTCTGGAGGTCTCCGGCCCAGCCACCGCCTCCCAAGCACGTCCACTCAGAACAGGACGCTCTGTCGAATTTGGAGTATCAGCGGGTACTGAGATCTCAGGGCCTGTCTGCGGCCTCCCTCCTTTGACCACCCTCTTGGTAGAAATTTCTTTTCTTTGTATCGAGTCAGAAGTCGCCGTGTTCCAACATGTCCCTGTTGCCTCTGGTCCCATCCCTGCGCACCTCTGAAGAGTCTGGCTCCACCTTCTCCACCCCCGCCTGTGAGGCAGCTGTAGGCGGCAGCAAGACCTCTCCCTAACCTCTTCTAAAGCCTGAACAACCCCCCTTCTCCCAGCCTCCCCTTGTAAGCCCTGTGCTCCATTTCCTAACGCCCACCAACAGCAGCAGGTACAGAAGCATCACAAAAAAGTCAAACGGGCAAAAAGTGAGTTAGGAAAGTGAGCGAGCAAAGCGAACGGCTGGCGGGACCTAACCTGACAGGAACTGTGTGACAGTCTTCCAGGGGTGACAGTGTAACCCATCATTAGATGGGGTGCACTCTGGGAGCACATGCCGCCAGGAGGAGATGCCCGTCACAGCACCAGCATGTTCTCTCTGCAAGCTGCTATTTTTAAGATTTGAGCAAAAAACACTGCAAGGAGACAGAAGAGCACCTTGAGGTCAAACGACGGGCTGGAGCTCAGGCAGGTTGCAGGCAGGCATCAGGCTCAGGCCGGTCAGACCAGTAACGCTGGGCTGACTGCTCCAGCAGCCAGGAACACCCACCGTTTCCCGGACGGCAAGGCTGCAGAGGGACTCCGCAGCCAGAGTTTCGGCACCCAGGACTGACTGAACCCGTGCTCTGCTCTGCACCACCCCCGGAGAAACAGGCTGGAAACGCAGCATTTTGCATCTACAGACAACTTAGCAGCTCACCACACAAATTTACTAGGGAAAGCTCAGCTTGGCTGGCCTACACAGGGAGCGGGAAGAGAGCACAGGAGAGCCGAGCAACCTCCTTTACCAACATTGCACAATGGTAATGTTCAGTTCCTGGGTTTGGTGCTCCTGTGCTGGCTTTGGGACTCCTACTTGGGAAATCAGAGAGGAGAAGCCAAGCGGACAAGAGAAATTGTCCCAGTCACACCGGACTTTCTTGTTACCCAACCACACGGACTCCCCACCTGCCAGTGACCCCGCTGAAACGACTAACAGCTGGCCCACAGAACTGAGCTAAGGGAACGCGCAGGCTGGGAAGCAGCTGACGGAGAAGTGCACAGAAGTATCCCGCAGCACCTAGTCCAGAGCCGATGCCAGAAAACCGGCTCATGGATGCATCACAGGTTTCCTGCGTGACCCTGGACAGGTCACTTCACCCAGGCCTTAGTCTCCCCTGCTGTACACTGAAGGTGTCATGTTTAACTGCCACAAGGATTGACTCATTGATGTCTAAGGCACTTGGAGATCCTTGGATACGGAGAAAAACCACGAGAAGAACAAACACTGTGGAGAGAATACCAGCCAGAGAGAAGAGCCAACACACGCGCGTGCTCCTACCCATCGACTCCACACAGCACATGAGGTCCATGGTGTTTATAACACATGTAGTACAGACAAGGTGATCTTTCTACTGATAGAGACAGAGAGGAGAAAGATACCAGAGATAAGTCTATCAGGGTATTTCTGAACAGTGTTCCCAAAGGATCTCAGGATGAACTTGCTTCCACTAGGAAGGATCAATTGTTTGCTCTCGGAAAGGCCACCCAAATACTGGGCAATACAGCTTTTAGGCCAGAAAAACCACAGATGGGACAGGCTGTGATTTGCAAAGCCACCTGATTTCAGCAGCTCTGTTTGTTGCAAGTTTGCATGCTCCTTCTTCTTACCCTGATTCAGGGATCTTAGTCGTTCTTGCCCTAGGCTGGCCAGGGATGCAGAGGGACAAGAAATAATGGAGCCATTCTCTTCAGTGCCTTGTAGCCGTCGGTGGCTTCCAAGCAGTCCTCTGCCCAAGGATGGGAAGAACAAGTGGAGATGAAAGCCATTCTCTCCCATATCCACCTACCTCCCCACAAGAGCTTTGGTCTCTTTCACTGGGATAAAATTTAGCACCGAGTCTGACAGCCCCAGCAGCAGCCCTCAGCCACACAGTGGCTCTTACACATTATCACTCTGTCGTCTGGATGTAAACAGGGACAGCCAGCATGGTGCAGGGGCCGTCCGAGGCAGTCTGCAGTTCTGCCAGGGCCAAATTGGATGCGATGCTGTTGGGCTGCCCAGGAACGACAAGGTCCGAGTCAGCAGCTCCTGACCCACCAACCACGATGGACAGGACTGCGTCCGACTCCTGGAACGGTTCTTTGTTAGGGCCACCTTCGGGGGGGCTTTCCCCAGCAGCACCATCCTTCAGCTCTGCCAGACCCAGCTGGTTGGGGAGGGAAAGGCCCGCCTTGCGCCCCCGTGCCACCCGCTTCTTCTGGGGCTTCCTGAGCTGCAGGTCTTTGTCCTTGGGTGAGCCCAGCCGGCACTTGTGGTCCTTCATGTACTTGTGGCGTGTGAAGCCTTTGCTGCAGGTGGGGCAGCGGTATTTGTAGTTACCGGTGTGCGAGCGCTGATGCTCTATCATGTGGGCTCGTCGGCTGAAGGACTTGTTACAGTACTGGCACTTGTGTATCTTCATCCCTGCACAGAGCATTGGAGGAGAGAGAGCTCAGTTAGAGACCCTGCATCCGAATGCAGGTCTTCAGGAAAATCTGCACCGCACCGAGGGAGCGCATCACAGCTTCATCCCCTCTTCCGAGGAGATGTTCCCTGATAAAAGCTTGAAACAGCCACCTCCTCACCCAGGAAGCCCTACTCTTTTTCAGCTTGCTAATTAAAACAAACCAAAAACGCCATGGCCTGAGGAGACATTGTGCCAGGCAAATTTGCAGTCAGAAAAGGGTGAGTGGCTACACCTCGAATGTCTGTGTTTAGGAAGGGCTAAAACAATAGTTCTTGCCTCAAATAAGAGGATTAAAATATCACTAGAAAAAAATGTCAGGTAATTGTGCTAAAAATGCAAAACAGTCTTAAACTTTGATTTTTTTCAAGTGTATTTGGTAGTAAAAAATTTTTTCACTTTTTTTTTTCCTCCCAAGTATGGGAATGTAAAGTCTGAAACAAACCATGCATTGCACTGTCAGCACAGTCCCATCTGATCGCACTCTTTGGAGTGGAGGGCTTTGGATGTGACAGGCACAAGACTTTCAGTTTTACCCCAAAAGACAAAAGTCAGAACGCTCCCTAGGGCATGGGAATAAATTATTTGTCTTTATTAGGAATGGGAGCATCATTTTTGGAACACAGAGAGAAGGGAATCAAACCCCAAGAGTTTTGAATGTGAGATGGTATTGGGGAGGAGTGGACAGAGCACTCTGGATATTCATTTGATAGCAAACACACCGAGTAATCCAGCTCTGCTTCTGAGCCTCGCCAGCAGGCCCTGCCTACAGATTTATATTGCCTTAGAAAACAGCCCAAAGCTTAGACACAGCTCTCAAATGCAAGCTCACTTAAACAGGCCTACAGCAACAGAGGTTAAAAAAAAATCTAAAGCTAATAAATTATATTAAGAATTTAGGCCTATATCTGGGAAACACTGTACTACACGCAGTGGAAAATTCTCCCACAGAGAAGTACAGAGTAGCTGTGTTAGCTGAGCGGTGGGCGGAGGGACACTGCAGGGAAAGCACCTGTAAGGAACATCCTGCGCTTCTGGGGGTATAAAGCAGAAGCACTTTCACGGTTTGCTATCTCGTTTCTCAAGCTTACTCCTTCTGTAACATCCTCCTGCAGCACCACAGTGAATCCCAGCCGCTTCGTTCCCAACCGCTGGCAGCACGGGCAGAGCTGCACTTACCTGAATGGGACAGTATGTGAGCCTTCAGCTTGTCAGGCCTGTTGAACTCTTTATTGCAGCCCGTGTGGCTTCTGTAACAACAACAAATGCTGGTGAGCAGCATGACTCAACTGAGGACCGACGTATAAACAGATCCTGGATCATAAAGAGATCCACAACCCTTCTCCTTAGCAGCACCCAGATGGGTTCCTGGGTGCAGTCCCAGTAGGAGCGCCACTATTTCAGCCCTTCTGGAGAGGGGCGAGAAATAGAACAGGCTGCTACGGGGACACGTGGCTTCTGCTAGACTACACGTGGCCTGTGTCTCACTACGAATGCTCCTAAAAGCAGCAGGTTCAAGATCTCGCCTATAGACGGAAGTATTTCGGAAGGAGCTACAAGGTGGTTGGAGCAGGGAGAAGTCAGTCAGTATTGGTTATCTCAGAAGGCCCACGGCTGTGCCATGGATTTGGGGATGCACCTTCTAAACCTGGGGTTCTTTGGCTTGTACATTAACTCCTATGTTGCCACGCACTTTTCAAGACATGGCAGTCGGGGAGAGCCCATCATTCAGGCAACCTTGTGCTTTGTGCTCAAATAATACTCCTTTTCTTCCCCAGTGCTCCTCAGGTGTAATCCCCCAAGCATCCCATGAAGGCAGGCATTATTTTACAGGCGTGATGAACTGGGATGAAATTATGTGGCCTCACGTGACAGGAACTGGGACTTCTGCGTTCCCAGTTCAACAGCAGACAGCATTCCTGCCTTCCCAAGAAGTAGTGGACTGGCAGATGCCACACATGCACCCTAGGATACCTACAAGAGAAACTCCTTCCTTCCCAAACCCCATCCCAACCCCATTAAGACATGCCCCCATGATGGGGACATGCTACGTACGAGAAGGGACATTTATATTTCTTAAAAGGCTCATGGATCAGCATATGTCGCTTGAGTTTGTCTTTCCGATTGAAGGCCGCATCACACACTGAGCATTTAAAGGGCTTTTCACCTGGATAAAAAAAAGAGACCAAGAGTCAGGGAGAGTCCAGTCACACAGGGCTGCTCTAGTCACGTACAGGATTCGCTCTGGCAGCAGTGCCACTCTCTGCTTCTCTATAAACTTTCCCAAGCTTCCCTACCCTGCCTGATGGATACAATCCACACTGCACGCTGCTCCTGATCTCCAGGGCCAGCTTCCTTAGCTTCTGCAACCGCGGGCAGGGGGGAAGCCACCTCTGTGTCCCACTTCTAACTGGTGCAGTACTGGGCATGAGGCTGAACCAAAACCATACATTTCTTGAACCCAACGTTACTACAAATGACTCATACACTCAACCCTCTTACTCTGGTTATCAGGAAAATAGCCAGGGCATTACAGCGTGCAGCAAGGACTGTGATACAGAGAGTGAGCACTGTGGTGCCGGGGGAGCCCGTACCCGAGTGGATGTGGGCGTGCAGCTTGAGGTAGTGCTCCCGGCGAAAGAACTTCTTGCAGATCTGGCACTTGAACTTGCTGCCCCCACCATGCGTGGGGATGTGGCGGCGCAGGTACCTCTCGCAGGGGAACACCTGTTAACACATAAAACCAAGGCTAAGAGCCAGCAGCACACAAGGGACATCACTGAGCCTGCACGGGTTTTGGAGGTGTGGCCTGTGTAGAAAGCATAAGAAGCTCATGGTGACTGCTTTCTTGGAAAGGACGCACTGAGGAAACCTTTTGTTTCCATAAGGAAAATACAGATAGAGCTTTAAAAAAAAAAAAAAATATACCACCACCTTCTTATCCTTAAGAAACACGTAAGCTGAAACCTTGCTGCTAAGTTTTGCAACAAGGAAAAATACAGATAGAGCTTTAAAAAAAAAAAAAAAATATACCACCACCTTCTTATCCTTAAGAAACACGTAAGCTGAAACCTTGCTGCTAAGTTTTGCAACACCAGACTGCTGAGGATCAGCACCCCAGATGGACACCCAGTCTCCCACCAGAACCAGCAGCAGGACGGGCTGGGCAAGGACCCCCAGTAGTTACTACCTTCCGCAGTGTTAACTTCAGTTTGTGCTTCCCAATCACCTGTTCCAAAGGCTCTCATTCATGGTCTTTATAAAGCCAGTATGAATGGTTCCTTTGGCTAACGGGGATACTGGAAATACCCAAGCTAAGTGAATTCCCAATGAGGATGCTGCAAGCACACACCTGAGGAGAGCACAGGAGAGCCAGGAGTTCTGGTACCCAAGACTATGCTCTCGCATCTCCAGAAAACAGCAATATTCGTAAGAATATAAACAGAAGTAAAAAATACTGCTGCAGATAATGGGCTTTCCAACCCCTATGCTGCATGCTGAAAGTCCCACCCAGGCTCAGAAGGGCATCTGTCACCTGGCGGGGGAAGCGGAGGGAAGACAGGTAAAGAAAGACGGGTTACTAACCATGGCAGGAGTGCGTTTCCCCTTCCTGAGCTACCTCAGTACAGAGTGGTCACTCCTTTGAGATTGTCCCTGCCCCCACTGCAGGATTTTCATTTCCTTTGCTATAAACAGAGGAGCAAGGGTCCAAATTTTAGTCTGGATTTCAAAAAATAATTTATTAGAATTCAAATCCCACAAAATTCTGCCCCTCAAACCCCCTCAGGGGCTGTGCTGAAGAGAGAATTTCCAGCCAAAACCTACCCGGGCATCGTTCCAGTCCCAGTCACATCACTCAGACAGGTTTCTCTTTGCCAAGGACACAGAGCATAAAAGAGGGGAACGAGGGGGAACCCAGAGACTTCTGTTGCGACAGGAGATGAGGACAGCAATGGAGGTGTACGAGCTCCCCCAGGAGCTAGGGCTTTTCATGCCCAACCATAGGTAGCCAGGCACGGCGGGGCAAAGGCACTACCGCCACTCTAAGACTTCCCAAAACCAGCCTCGCTCCTCCTGGCACACTTGCTTTTAAGAAATAAGGACAGCAGCCCAGAGTGTGCAGTCCTGTGCTGTCGTGGGAATAAGGGAGTTCCCCTGACAAATTCTGTTCAGCAGATGGGACCCAGGAGAAAAGCCAGCACTGCGGGGAGGAACGTGCTCTGCGTGAGAGGCCAGAGAGCTGCAGGCCAGGGGTGCAATCACCTCTGTCTCTCTGAAAAGCACTTCGCGAGCCTGCCAGTCCGTACTGAGGTAGGAAGGGAGAGGAAAGGGAGCCGAGGGTTCCCGTCCCCCTCAGAGCCCTAGCTACATGTCCAGGACCGGCTCAGGCAGCGGTCACCCACCCACCTTCTGGCAGTGAGGGCAGGGAAAGTTGTGCGTTGCTGTCTGCAGATGGTGCTCCAGGGCTTCCGGGGTGGAGTACTTATTTACACACTTCACACATCTGAATGCGGAGAGAAAGGACAGAGCCTGTGAACGAGGCTGCCGCCAGCAAACCCCACACCGCAGGCAGACCCCAGGCAGGGCTGCCCAGCCCATTCACCAGCCACCTTCCAGGCTGATTTTTGGTAGGGTCGGTTTGGTACAGACAATAACACCATCACCCAGGTGCTCTGAAACCTCAGCAACCCACATGGCCAGATCACACTCACACTTAGCATCCTTCACGAGGGGGAGATGCTCGGAAACTGGGTGGAGAAGCTTTTAAATTGCTAGTGCTCTTCCACACAGACACCCATGGGAGCACCCAGGGACCCATGCTCATATTCCACATTGCTTCCTCATGGAGACAAGCCTTAAGTAAAGGCTTCACCTTACTTAAAACACCTCCTTCCATCTTCATTGCATGAAGACAGCAGCTCCCAGTGAAGGAGCTGAGAGTAGGGTCACAGCACAGCAGCATTACCCATGGCTGGGGCAGCCACAAGGCGACATGCTCCCACGTGGGGTCTCTGGCATCTAACAAAGCTTCAGCTCATGCTGCCACCTCTGCGAAACCACCTGGGCCCTCTCCACCTAAACTCCCCTGTTCTCACACATCCTGGCAGCATTTCTGTCAGAGACCTCTGCCAAAGCTGACTGATAATGGGCAATGGGGACATGCATCATCCACAATGAATACAGAGGCACTCACACCCTCTATCTGCTGTGAAACCCCTTTTCCTTAGATCAGACTAGACCCTCCTCAAACATAAGCAGGGCTCTGATCTCAAAGATCCCCACTGGCAAGCTGTAGGATACAGCTGTAGGATATCCCCACAGCACAAGGATAACGAGAAATTATGGTCTATGCAGGAAGTAGCAGATATTTATTCCATGAAGCTCCTAGGTGACTTCAGTATCCTCTGGGCTTCCTACTCTTCCTGTATGTCTCTACAGGCATTTCAAAAGCTCCAGAGAGCTCTTTGTGGAACTCCTCACCCTCTCCCTCTACGCTAGTAGAAAGGCTTTCCCAGGTAATAGACCCCTTCGCAGCAAAGGGATAGGAGAAATAACTCATTTTTTCTGGGCACAGCTTCTACAACCTGCACTCCCTTTGCTGCAGGTGTTTAGAGAATCACAGAAAACAGGCTGGGAAGCGGCTTCCCTGGGTCTCTGATCCAGCCCAGTGCAGGTTCAGCTGTGCCCATCTCACTCGACTGGTGGTAAGAGGACTTGCGGTGATGGGATCTTCCCATGTAACTGATCCCACCTTCCACTGTCCTTCTGAAAGGTTCCTTGCATTCAAAGTGCTTCGCCCTAGCAGCCCAGTGGAGGGGCCCCCCATTTGCAACTTGGGTGCCCAAGAGAACCGCAGCCGCTGAACACACAGCCCCCTCTTCCCTCTAATGTCCCCACCGCTCTCAGCCAAACACGCTCTGCACCCACTCACTCCTACAAGCCTTGTGAGCACCGATTGCTACTGTACTTGTACACGGCCACGTCCTTCTTGGGGCTGTGCTGGGGCAGCAGGCTGTGGGAGTACTGGTGGACGCCCAGCTCATACAGGGAGGGGAAGTCCTTGCTGCAGAGGTGGCAGCGATAACTCAGCTCCTCTTGGTGGCTCTTGATGTGCTCAAGGAAGGACTCCAGCTTCTGGAAGGTCTGAGCGCAGGTCTTCACCACACACTTGTATACCTGGGAGAAGAAGGGAGAGCGACTGGAATGGCACACCATGGAAACAAACAGGGAAAATCCTCCGCCAACAGAATGGCCTTCCTTTTTGGAAATCGTTGCCACTGGGTCATTTACAGAAAGGGACCGCTGCCCCTTGACCCCCTGTGCTGGAGAACAGCTGAGCTGATGTTATGAACAAAGCAGCACTGTGGCTCCCAGAGCATCCCACCATGCCCACAGCCACATTAGCGCTCAGCCAGGGCACAGCAGTGAAACCCTGCCCTGCACTGCAGCAGGACACAATGTAGTGGTAAAACATCCCCTTCCTCTGCTGCATTACTCAGAGGAAGGGTCTTTAAAGAACAGTGCAGAGCAGCTCAGCATCAAAATGTGGCTGACAGCTCCAGGTGAAGACAACAGCAGAACCCGCTGGGAGTTGAACGTTCTGCAAACGCAGATTGTCAGGGCACTCCCCTAAGGAAGCAAGGTGGGAGAAAGGGGTGTTGGTGTGAGCGCCTGAAACCACTCGAGTGGGTGAGACCACAACACCCCAGCAGTGACTGTCCCACAACCTGAGAGCTGCCACCTACACTGAAAACTTTGGACTTCGGTTCTTTGCTTCTTCTCTAGCCACCCAAACCTAGTTGGCTGACTTCTCAGCAGCAGGGTGGAGGCAGTGGAGCTTTTCAAAGCCACCCAGACCACACAGCTGCAACCCAGACATGCAGAGAGCCGAGCTGCATGCGAAGCGCTGGCAGCTTTACAGAGCAAGAGGCTCAGGACAGACCCTGGGAGCCGGTGCACTATATGAAGCCCGTCCCAATCTCGCCACCGACACAGGACACCTTCTGTCCCTACCTGCTCATTCTTGTGCTGTGTCATGTGCGATTTGAGCTGGAAATAGGTGTTGAATTTGCTGGGGCAGAACTGGCACTGGTAAGAGCTATCGATCAAGACAACCTGCTTGGCTTCCAGTTTGCCCGCCTCGTTCTCGTCCAAGGGGCTCATGTCTTGGGGCGGTTGTGCGGGGTTCCTTGAGGGCTGAGTCAAACCTGGAGAAAGGGAGAGAGAAAGTCACAGCCTGCCATGAGACGCCTCTGAAAGCTGCTATGCAAGTGCCACGCTGCCAAGACACACCAGGCCTGGCTCTGGGGCCAGGCTCTTCCTTCCTTTCAAAGACAGATTCTTTAGATCAGACAAATCTCACCCTCTAACAGGGTAGTTTTGTCTGCGGATTATAAAAGGCTCTGACTACTCCGTCTTCCTCTCCTTGACCCATTCTCTTTTTCCAGGGACCTAATTGTGCCCTGCAGAGTAGTCAGCAGGGCAGGCCCCCGCCAGGGAACCAGAGCCAGATTTACTCCCATCTCTGGCAGATGGGAGGTAAAATCCAGCCAGTAGCTCACAGTCCATGATGTCTGCATGGAGGAGCTCCAGTGGGGCCTTGTCCTAGACATGACATTGTCACACTGTTCCCTCCCCTCTCACTGGGACTGAGGCCACCAGCTGAAAGAGTATCCAGACACATTCTGCCAGCAAGGAGCTCTTCTCTGCCTCAAGTATTTTCAGTTGGCCACCGGGGCCAGACCAAGCCCAGGCATGACTTGCACATTGCAAACGAGACAGAGCACTGGGCTATGCTAAACCACTGGCTTGTCCGGCCAGTAGACCAGAGCTGCCAAGCGTGGCTCATGCATTACCAAAGCTGCACCTGCCAGGGAGGGAGAAGGGGGAAGACACCTCATCCTCTCCCCATGCAGATACCGTCACAGCGTTTGGAGCCACTGTCTTCACCAGCACCTGAATCCACCATGGCTGGGGGTACCCAAGGACGCACTTGCCAGCAGGAATCTAGCAAATGTGACTCACTTCTCTAGAGTGTGCTGCTAAACCCCACGGGAGGAATGCAAACAGCACACACAGCTCCTGTCTCCCCTCCCTCCCTATGTGGAGGTGCAGGGACGTGCAGACTCCTCACGTCACTGCTCTGCCCCTAGCACATGCTATCACCAAGGCAGCAAACCTGTGTTCTCCTCATCCTCTGGCTGGTTTGGGTTCAAGGCCATGACCTGCACCGTGATGGAATTGCGGGAGATGGTGCACCCCAGCCCTGGCGGCCACACTTTATGGGTTTGCATGTGCTTCTTCACGTTGGACTTCTGGGCAAAGGCTCGGCCACACACGATGCACTGGAAGGGCTTCTCGCCTGTGTGACTGAAGGCAGAAGGCACCATATCAGCAGCCGGCAGTGAAAGGAGGCAGCCCCCAGGCATGGACTGCAGTGGGGTGGCTGCTGCAGGACTGCACTAAGCACTCTGCCTGGCAGATCAGCACCTGGACCAGCCAAACAAGGGCTTTGAGACCTGATTAACTAGAGAAAATGGATTGTGAGAGGCCTGGGGAAACAAGCCTGGCACACAGACAAAACACTCGCAACCTGGGATGACAAGGGATCAAAGGAAGAAGTGGGAGAGGAAAAGACCTCTGCAACATCAGGGCATTCGCTGTCAGGGTTTCCGCACGGACCTCGGGGACCCCACCACTTTCTCAGGTGTACAACCGTTTTCTTCCCTGTCACCCCTCCCTCCCCTGCCCATGTCTCTTCTAGCTTGCAGCCCCCTGATCTCCCTGAATTTGCTTTCCCCTGCTCACAGCAGAAAGGTCTTTCTACTCTGCCCTTCTGCTGCAGGAGAAAGAGTGGACTTTAACACATGGAGTACGTCATGTGAAGAGTCCAGGCCGGGAAGGGGAGCGAAACCACCACTTGTTCCTTCTTATCTGTCCTGAGTCCGGCAGACTCTGCTGGAGGAAACTGAAGATTTCAACTGCCTCCTGCCAGAGAAGAGCTCTCTTACAAGAGCTCCCTATATAGACACGGAGCTTGGCTTACGGTTTGCTAACACCAGCAAACACAAAGGCTGCAGCTTGCTAAGGAGGAAGAGGAAAGGGCAGAGGCAAGCAGTGGAGATGCTGCTGCTCCAGTGACCAGGTGACAACAGGTTTGGCTTTCAAGGTCTCATCAGTGAGGAAAACAAGTCTCCAGTCCCAGCCCATAATCAGCAAGAAGATTACATCCATGATGCAACCTTCACCCCAGCCACTGAGGAGAAGCTGTCCTGGAGGAAGGGGGATGAAGGATCACCTCCCAGTGCAGCACAGATTCTGGTACATGACAAACGCAAGGTCTACCGGACTGCGCAGACTCCCTCAGTGGGGCTGTGCCCACCTCCACCCCAGCCACTCTGCTGTGTCCGGGCTAGTGGCACCATTACCTTCTGATGTGCTGCTGCAGGTCGAAGTTCTTGGTAAAGGCCTTGTCGCAGTAAGTGCATTTCAGCTTGGGGGACTTGGGTTTGCCTGAAAGAGCAAGAGCATGCACAGGAATGAGATCACGTGGCACAGCCCTGTCCCCCCCTGCGCCACAGGGCCCTCGCCCCAAGACATGTCTGTCTATTCAGGACCAAGAATAAAGGGCTTATGAAAGGACAAGATCTGCCTGGCCAGACTGGGGAGAGGTTATGGGCACAAACATATATTTAATGTAGCCTGAGCTAACTCTAGAAGTACTGAGGAGACTAGTAGTGGAGGGGGCAGGGCATCCCCTTCAGGCATTAACCGCTCCAGGGACCCTTCCAGCACCTACTTTAAAGGCATTTTGAGCATTGGGAAAAGACACAGGATTAGTGAGAGGAAGGGCCCCAGTTCTGTCTCTCTCCTATGAACTCACCAAGGTCAGCCATCAGCCAGAGTACACGCACATTTCTCCCATGCAGATCAGTCAGTCTCATTTTCTATCTACTATGATGAGGTATAAACCAATGGAAAACAGCAGAACTGTAGGCTGCTCTAGGGAATTCTGGACTGAGAGCTGCAGCCCACATGATCATTCACACCTCTGCAAATAACATTAAACCCTAGCATCTGTATGGGTGTATCTCCAGAGGCCAAACCTTTCTGGGGAGGAAGGCCACGTGGCTTTCCTCCACCTCACGCCTGGGACCTCCCTTGTTACTCAGCTAGGTGTGCTTGCATCACACCAGCAATGGGCAGGCTGGGCCAGCGGAGGATCTGACGCTCCTCCATCCTGTAATGGGGCATTCCCCTGTCCTGCCTCACCTGGGGACAGGCGTGTTTTCTTCATAGGCATTGAAACACACGGCAGGGACGGGTCAGCTGGGCCCTTGAAAAGAGAGTCTTCAGGGCCAGGCCACATCTAGCCCCCTGGCCTTGCAGCTGGGCAGCCTTCCTTGGGTTAAAACGGACCAAGCTCTAAAACCTTACTTTGCAGGATCTCCCCATTTCAGGTGTGATCCAATAAGCATGTAGCTGCAGAGATTTAGCACAAGCTTGCCCATGCAGTAGCACAGTGACTGTCCCTTCACATGCGCTCAGAGGTGACAGACAAGAAGCACGTCCACACTTTCACCTGCTCTTGATAGCTTTGTGCAGGGCATCATGTTCCTCCGCCGGAGCTGCATGCACAGCCAGTGCCACCCCACTGCACCCAGAGAGCCCGTGGCTCGACAGTCCACTACGGGATAAGCACACTGGCCTACAGGTCAGTGCAGGGCAAATGCTACAAGAACACTTACCTTCCTGCAGCCCACTCTCGTTTTTGCAGCGCCGACTTTTGGCAGCGGAGGTGGAATCAAAACCAACCACACCGCCTCCTCCTGCACTGGTCAAAGGTGTGGGAGTGCTGGTGCTCTTGGACTTGAACCCCTGCTTCCCAGGGCTGTACACAGGAGGAGAAGGGTACACGGGACTTTCCACACACTGGCTCGGTACCTGCAAGAGTGCAATTTATCAGAGGAAACAGGGTTGCTACACAGAGTCATACTGTGCCGTAACCTCCATCTCCAGCAACACTTGCCATACCAGGCTATTAGTCTGGCTGAGTTTTCTGCCTCCTGCCAAACCGGATTGAATTTCTGGTTCACCAGTCCAACAACGCGTCTCTAACTAAAACTAACACCCTGCACAGTGTGAAACTCTCCCGCTGAACATCACAAAGTATCCAGGAGTTATTACACCAGGAACAGGACAGCAAAGAAACACTATGAAGGAGCCATCTAATCCCTCATCTGTCTTACGCCTAGAAGAGTTTCTCATCCCTCTGGAGCAGGTTACCAGAACGATCACCGCTGACCCTGTGGGTTCACACCACCCCTGAAGGCGGGGCTCTCCAGGCCCTGCTGCCTGCCCCAGCAGGACTGCAGAAGGGAAGGAAAGCACAAGAAAACTCCAGGTGGCAAAGCACAGTTGTTTACGTCAGCACCAATATTAGAAAAGGACGCTTAGAGAAAAGTATCAGGTAGGGGTAGGTATCAGTCTGGGGTGACATGGTTTGAGGGCATTTCTGTTGCCCACCCTGATAAATTAACACAGAGCACTAAGTATCCAACATCCCCGTCCATTCCTGACCACTGACACTTCCAGATCAGATACCAGCTACAAAGATAAGGCTGACAAACCTCTGTTACACCCAGTAGTTTCCGTTGTGAATGGCAATGCTAACATGGAGGCTGCGAAAAGCTGACCCACCGGTAAATCCACCCCAGCCTGTGACTCTCTTTAAGAGAAACTGCCTTGTCAAGCTTGCTTATAGATACTTACATTAAATTTTTCTCTCCACTTAAGCCTGCAGCGCACAGGGTGCTGCTCTGCACCCCTCTGGGAGGTAAGCCCCCTCACCTCAGCTCCCTCTCACTCCCAACATCTGCAGGTATCCCTCAACCACAGCAGACATTCAGGTCTCCTAAGCCCGTGCCAGCCAAGCCCTCCGATCCTCTTAACCGTTTTTCTTGTCATCTTGCCGACATCCTTCTGTTCAGTACCTTCTCCCAGAGGAAATAATCATTGTCAAATAACCTAACGTATCTTCCCAGACTCTAATTCTGCATTTCCAGTCCAGGCGACTCCCAAGCAGCCTTGCTTGTTAGAAGAGGCCCAGGAGGACAGAGCCCCTGCGGACAGCCCCTGGCCTTACCTCCATGGGCGGATAGGGCTGCATCCCCAGCGTCTGGATCTCCACCGTGCTGTTTGCTGCCATAGGAGCCGGCGCACTGTACACTTCGACCACCCCACTGCCGCCGGCGCTGGGCTGCCCCGGAGCCC